CAAGGGTAATTCTTGTGGCCCCAAGAAAAAGTGCATTTAGTACATTTAAAAGCAAGTTCCATCCATGAACACACCCAGAATACCTCAAATTTGAGCTGGAGGGGTCAAATACGATTCCATAATTGTAATTACTAGGGGATAAGCCTAGGACACATACCTTTAATGATACCATACTGTAAGAGGTATCAGATGCACTCTAGTTTTTAACAACACATGGACTATATCTGTACCCAAATATTTGTTGATGTGCTAAATCACAGAACATTTCAAATGTCTTCTTTGAGTGTATTTGAGCTAATTTTAATTTAAAGCAAATACAAACTACATTACATTGTAGGGCTTAGGCTAAGCCCTGCTTACACTTTATTCCACAGAAAATGCACTGCTTTTCATGGATAAAATGGAAATATTTCCAACCTGTACTAGCTAAAGTAATGAGGGTTTTTTTTTAATTCTTTTTTTAGAAAAGGAGGAGAGCCATCAAAACTCTGATTCTAAATAAAGAACTTCTAAGTTATTTCAGGTATGGAATATTGTAAACACAGTATACCTCTAATATACCCCCCCCCCCTTTTTTTTTTTTTCTTCAAATAAATAGCTAGCTATAGATCAGTCAAACTCAGCCCTGTGGAAAAAGACTTGGGGTGCTGGTTGATGAGAAACTTAACATGAGCCAGCTGTAGTGTGCGCTTGCAGCCCAGAAAGCCAACTGTATCCTGGGCTGCATCAAAAGGAGCGTGACCAGCAGGACGAAGGAGGTGATCCTGGCCCTCTACTCTGCTCTCCTGAGACCTCACTTGGAGTATTGTGTGCAGTTCTGGTGTCCTCAACATAAAAAGGACATGGAACTGTTGGAACAAGTCCAGAGAAGGGCCACGAGGATGATCAGGGGACTGGAGCACCTCCTGTATGAAGACAGGCTGAGGAAGTTGGGGCTGTTCAGCCTGGAGAAGAGAAAGCTGCGTGGAGACCTCATAGCAGCCTTCCAGTATCTGAAGGGGGCCTATAGGGATGCTGGGGAGGGACTCTTCATTAGGGACTGTAGTGACAGGACAAGGGGTAACGGGTTAAAACTTAAACCGGGGAAGTTTAGACTGGATCTAAGGAGGAAATTCTTTCCTGTTAGGGTGGTGAGGCACTGGAATGGGTTGCCCAGGGAGGTTGTGAATGCTCCATCCCTGGCAGTGTTCAAGGCCAGGTTGGACGAAGCCTTGGGTGGCATGGTTTAGTGTGAGGTGGGGGGTTCCAGGGGGGTTGGAACTAGATGAATATAGAATGATTCTACTTGAAGCAGATACTAACTTAAACTCTGTATTTTATCATAAGCACAGAGACAGGGTGGACAGCACAATGAAAATTAATGTAGAGGGCTTGACATTCTTTATACGTGAAAGATGAGCATTACAATGTTCTACAAAGCCCAGGCTGGCCAGGGCTTTGAGCAACCTGGTCTAGTGGAAGATGTCTTCAGCACAATAAGAGGAATGTGAGTATACTTTTACCAGAATAAATTATGTCTAGACCTAGTGCCTTCCCTTCTGTACTTTTCATAATTTAATCTGACCCATAAGTTGACCAAAATAGTGTGTTATTTCATACTCTTCCTACAAACATTATCCTCTAAAATCAACTAGGGAAAGATTTTATCAAAACACACAAGAATTAGAGAAAACAAGACAAACTTAACAAAAATAAACACTACAAATGCACAAGACAACTCAGAGCCAGTACAGGCCATTAAATCCAGAGTGACATTCTCCGAGGGATTCAAATTTAACACCAAGTATACTATGAATAGAGCCCAGTGACCCAAGTTCAAGTAAAGCATTGGTTTGAAATAAGCATTTGGGATAATATTGACAAATGCTAACTTCAGATTATCTACAAATCATCTTGCATCCTTTTACCATGGCTGCCCATTTCTCCCTAACAACCATGTCAGCCCATAATTCGAGCTTTGAAATTGGTTTATATTGAATTCTTCACAAAGGATTTCTTAAAAATAACCTCTCATACTCTCAGAACACCTTAAGGTACAGATAGCACACTTAAAAATCACATTTAGAAGAAGTGAAAGCAAAAGGGCTAGAAGAGAAACTTCAAGTTTCACAGTATATGACTTATGACAGTTCTGGTGCTAGTGTTACTGAATGGGAATAGCTCTTGCTAATGATTAGTCCTCCCATACACCTCTGAGCCTGTTAATTAAAAGCACTGCTAGAGAACTAAAGATTGTTCCTGAAATCCTAGATGAGAATGTAGCAGTTTATGACATTATATAAAGTGAGAAATGATAGGCAAACCCAATGCCAAAATGAGCAGTCAAATCTAATCCTAAAATAATGGAGCTGAAGAAAAGCATTTTTATTTCAAGGCAGTAAGAAGCCTCAGAGAAGCTTCTGTGTCCCTGCCCATGGCAGAAGCGTGGAATTAGATGGTCTTTAAACCCCTTCCAACCCAAACCATTCTAAGTTAGCATCTTGCACACATGCTGAAATCTTGGTCAGTCATGAAAAATACCTTTTACCCAAGGTCCCTTGGAAAAAAAAAATATTCTTGCTAGTGTGCATGCCAAGGGATAGGTGTGTGAATGCCTTTATTTTGAAGTTGAGAAGGAAAAACTTCACACTAACACTAAGATTAATGACAGCCATTAGTGGATTTCTTGCTCTGGATGTGGGCCCGGAGTAGATGAAAATCCAGGTCATAAAATCTCTGAACAACTTCAGACTACACAAAACTGAATCCAAAGTTAGTTAAAGTTCAGCTCCTACTCATTTCCCCAAAACCATTTATTTTGTGGTATTTTATTTGGATTGCTCTGACAAAAGTTGCAGCCTACCATTTAACAAATATCGTTATGTTCACCCACAGAAAGTTGTGCTGCTCTTGTTTGCCTTGACAGGAAAACAATACAATGCACTATCTGGTGAGGTTTATTTTCCAGAACTCTCAGATTTTTTTTAATAGCATGCAACAGCACTGCTACTTCTGTCCTCCTGCCACTAGCCTCTTTCTCTATAACCTAAACCACCTTGTACCTTGTTTAGGTAACACAGTAAATTACCAGGGAGATGCCTGTTATTAAGAGAGGATGCAGCAAACAGACTTGACCCTAAACAATTAGGGAAAACTACCATCTAGGCTTTATATTTCTAATTGTTGATGTAGCTTACCAGAAGTTCACAAACTTGAGGAAAAAAAAAAATCCAACGCAGAAGGATTGCTTTGAGAGACACAGGGCACCTTGGTTACAGATCATGATTGTATTGAAAAGATCACTGAGCTGGTGTGTCAATTTTTATGGAGTTGCACAGTGGTACTGCAATCTTTTCAACTGTCCATTTTAAGTTAGGAAGAAACAGTTTCAAACATAAATAATTCAAGGTGTGAGATACTCACGCATTAGGTGATGCAATGCAAACTCATAAGACAGACATGCTTAAAGTTTGGTGCTGCATGTCCAGCTCACCTGAAATACACTTTTGGCAAGTTTGAACATGTATGTCCCTTCTTAGTTAGCCTGCATTGGTAGTTTTCAGTTTTCTAGACAGCTAGCCAGCACCTTTTTAAAAAACAGGCCAGCTTTCTCTCTCCCCAGAAGCCACCTATGGCTTGTAGAGCACCTCTGAATCCAGACATCATGCTGTACTAAAACCTCGTGCTTCCATTTTACATAAAGCAGATCAAAGTGAATGTTTCACAGAAACCAAGTCTACCAGCCTATACAGAGGAAGGGCAGTTAGGGGAAACAGTCACATGGAGGGAGAACATTTTATTGAGGTGCTAGAGTCAGATTAAAACTGAAAGATTGTTTAAATTCCAGAAGGAAGCTCATTTAAGAAGCCAAAATCTTACCTAGACTAGATCATGATGAAGTATGTAATAAGTAACCTCACAGCAGGAAAATAGTTTACAATTTCTAGACCTTCTAAATTGTAAAACTTTAAATAAATTAAACTTTAAGAGTTTGCACAAGATACTGTTTTTTTACAGTTACATGGGTTTTCACAATTTCTTTAAAGACAGCAATGGATACAACATTCACCTCAACCCAGACACAATGTAGAATACAGAGAAAGAAGTTTATGATTTGTAACAAGGGCTTTACAAACCATTTCCTTTTCTACATTATTATAGGTAATACTTTAAAATAAGCAGTATAAATACTGGAAAAATAAGATGTATCTTCAATATATAAATTTTATTTCATTTGACACCATACAAAATATTAAACTTAAAAAAATAAATTAGAAGTACAATTTTAGCAATTAATTTGTCTTCAATAAGAAATACATGAGAAGCATAAATTGTGCTTCAGGAGGTGTAAAAAAGTTCCCAACCTTTTTGGAAAAGCTAAAATTTAAGGTTACTCATTTAAATTCAATTTAACCAACTTAAAAACACACAAAATCAGAATATAAGCCCAGCTTAGTGTAGCAGAGGTAGGACTGTGGGGTGTTCTGACTGGGTTTTTTGTGATGTTTTTGTTTGTTTTCCAAAGCGGGCATTACTACTAATTCAAATATTTAAAAGTAAGCGTTAAAAAGTATCTTGGCTACTCTGTGTGAATATGAAGCATTTATGTATATCGATTTGTCCTTTTTTATTTCAACTTCTTAGCAGTAGAATTGTTGCTTAAAATTCCAGTTTAGATTACAGTTTATGTTATCTAGAACACCACAAACCCAAATCTAGCTTGATTTTCAGAAACTGTTTCTTGTTATTTCATGTAAAAGGGAAGCTTTTAAAACTGGAAAGTGCCAAGTTGAGCAGAAGTGCTTACTGCAATTAAGCAGATGCAAAGCATGGGCTGTTTCTTCATCAAGAAGCAGGTGCTGTGTGCAGTGCCTTAAGGATATGGTCAGATACACACTGTCTAGCTCTAAATATCTTTATTTCATGGTTAAAAATGTCTGAATTAATGTTTATATTCCCATATTTTCCTTAAAACCTTTTGTTTTGCTGCAAGTTTCTTCCAGAAATAGACAACACAAGAATTTTCAGAAAACTTATCTTTTAATGACCAGCTGTATTAACAATAATGAAATACATAATCTTTCTTATAAAGATTTTCTTAAAGTTTACAAGGAAAAACACATTATAAGACAACTACCCATAGGGTAACTGCCTCTTGATTTTGAGACTTTTTCTTTCAGCAGGATCCAGTAAGAAGAAAGAAGCTGGTTATCTTTTCAGTATGGCTGCTCTTAAAGGTAATATACAGTTCAGGTCTTTCTTGTTTTGTAATAAATGCCAAGACTGCAGGGAAAAAAGTACAAGGTTTTAAAAGGAGAAAAAAAAAATAAATCTCTGCCATTAATACTTAAATACCATTGTAAGCAGTAAGCCTCACAGAGCCACAAATATAGGCTGGTATTTTACCCTTCATGAAAAAAAAAAGAAAAAGAGGGGGGTTTGAGTGTTTTGTGTGGCTTGGCTCTTGATTTTGGCTTTTTTTTTTCTTTTTCCCAGGGAAGAAAAAACCCCAAAAGGTATACAAAATGCAATGAACTATTGAGAAAAGTACAGCTTTTCAAGAAGAGAGTGGATTTGTGGAGACTCAGATTGTAACATTATTTAAGTATTACATTGATATTCTGACTGCAAAATAATTGTTGCAAATTCGTACATATCAAATTTCCTGATACGAGATGTTACACACTGACATTTCCAGAACTTTACTGGCTTTAAAATAGGTTATTTCAATATTCTTCTATATTCTAGTGTGAATTCCAAGACATATCTAAAGGCTGTGAACCTGCAAATAACTGCAGTGACCCTCCTGTCTTTATGCAGGATACACTTAAACCACAATGTACAATGAAAACCACAAGAAGAATAATCTCTCAAGGGCAATGAGACAAACAGATTCCTTAGGCTTCTTTAAAATACGTGCAGGATATTAATCTTACAACTGCAGTTTTATGCAACTGTCACTCCTTATGGACTTAAGCCTGATGCTTAATGTCTGCCATTACTCTTACTAAATAATTTTCCAGATGTTTTTTTAAAAATATTTCTATTTATATATAGTACAAAACCTAGAAATATTCTTAAAACAAACATGAGAAACAGGCTCAATGCTAGTGTTTGTCTAACTACCTTGAAAACCAAAGTGACTGGAAAAATTAAACAAGATGCAATATTTACCTTCAGAAATTGACCTCTGATTAAATCAAACTTCCGTTTTTCATGTACAGCTCTAGCAGTGTTTGTCCCATCAAAGGGCTCTGCAAGATAAACCACAAATACTGAAAGTGTTAAAGAAATCTACAGCTAGGCTGTCTTCACCCATCAAGTATTCAGACAAAACCTGTAAGGGTCAACATATCGCTGCTTCACAAGACTGCTTTGAGTGGTTGATTTCACTTTGCTCCTCAATCTTTATTTCTACATAACATTAACGGGGAAAAAAAACCCAAACCCACAAAAACCAAAAAAAAACAAGCCCTGTACCCTGGATGCTCCTATGGTATGTAGTTCATAATAAAGTCAGGTTATTATATCTATTGAAGCATACTTCTCCTGTGATAAAGTTATGCATCTGTAACTGTTTGTTACTGTTTAATAGTCTGTGTTGACACAGCAGAATATGATTTTGCATATTAAAATGTTTTGAAATTTACTACACATGCCTCCTGGAACTGTTCACTTCAGATTCATCTCATTCAACAGCTTCTTAGTGAAATACAAGGATATACAGTAAACTATTTATAATAAATTTTTCCATAAGATGTTTCAACTGCTGTAAAAATAGGTTTTATCAGTTCATCCCCATTCTACAGTTTCCATTCATAAATCAACAATTTGGGATTTCTAACATACTTTAGATGCACATTTATGCGGTATTTCCCCCACCCCTGTTTTTTCCTGTTGCCAACATCATTAATACTTTGGAACTTTTTTTTTTTAACTGAAAGATTACAAAAGTACTCCTTGCCACTGATAGGGTTGCCAACGTTAAAGCAATAGATACTAAAAAATTTGTGATGCAGAGACTAAACATTACAATCCACTACAAAACAGATTTTATAGGTTTTTTTGCCTTACTAGAGAACTGGTTAAGAAACATGGTATATTTCACACTGGCAGAATGTATGAAAGTCCTTAAGGGACACAGAACCACAGAAATACACCTTAACACAAATAAAAACAGAGCACAATTTTTTCTTTCAGTGAGCCTAAATCAGTGCTCCATGCAGAATTACAGACTTGTGTAAGCTATAAACAACTACATTTAAAATATTAATATATGTAGTAATACCAATAACTGAAATTTTAGTCTGCTAAATGGAAAATCTGGCAAAGACTTGGAAAACATAATAACATGTTTAGCTAGCTTTTAAAAGCTTCTTCTCAAAGTACACAGAATTTTATCTACAGAATTTGTTAAACCAGTTTAGCTTAACAGCTGTAAAAGCATGAAGTGTACTTCAAGATGAAATAGGAAATTATTTTTTCCCTTCCAATTTAGAAGTAAAAGCTTGGTATGTGAGGCTAAAACCCACTCTCAATACAGTCTTGAAGAACATTGTAATAAGGAGGAATCAGATATACCATCTTCTAGATAATTTTGCTTTTTTGATAGTTCAAATGCAAAATGCACTTTTTATTAAAAGTTGTGTGTAAACAAGCTTATTTAATAAAAATTCTAAAGTGCCTATTTTCCATGCTGATATTCTATTTCCAACCTGAAGAAAGAAAACCTAAATACTGAACCACTTCGTAATTTCATTAAAAAATTGAGAGGTTAAAACACACAGCTCCCCCCACAACACAGTGGATCAGCATCATGTGACAGCAGCAGACACAGCTGCCCAGCATTATCACCTCCCACATTCAGACCAGAGCCTTGCCAAAGCCCACACTATGCTCTCCTGAATCATTTCAGCTGTGCAGATACTCCAATTCTCACATTTTTCAACTCTCAAGACTGCAGTCAAACATGCAGTTATCTTTCAGAGTATTTTTTTTTCCCCTTATGACTGGTAGTTTGCTCCTCTTCTTTTTGTCACCGAATCATAGAATGGTTTGGGTTGGAAGGAACCTTAAAGATCATCTCATTCCACCCCCCAGTCCCGTCATGGACAGGGACACCTTCTACTAGACCAGGTTGCTCAAAGCCCTGTCCAACCTGGCCTTGAGCACTGCCGAGGTGGGACATATCCCAAGCATTATCCTAAAACTTCGACCTGATCCTAATAGCCTGCATTTATGTAAGGCCAGAATCCAGGCCATCTCTCCTACTTCAAAACTTTGCTCCTTACCCAGTGTCCTAAATCACCTACTTCTAATTCTGCTCCCATTCCACCTTGTTTTTTTATCCTTCCCCTGTTGTGTTCCAATTCTCATTCTTTGTGTTGTTTCCAGTTACACAGCACCTCTCAGTTCCTTCCCTTCTACTCTGTTTTCCTAACAACTGAATTCTTCTCATGGTTTATTATATTTTCTTTCCTTGGTCCAAGCTTTCTCTCTTATGTGTGCTAACTGTTCAGCTTTAGCATGTAGATTCCCAGAACAGTTGAAAAGCCATCAAGATCCCATGAAGCAGGTTAGCTGTATAGTGCTACAGCCCAGTTCAGCCTGCACTTAACTAAGAAGGCTGAACTCCAAAACTTAGGCTGGGTTTACCCTCCAGTTCTGGAAGTCATCAAAGAGTCTGCAGAAACTGCACATTCATAAGCCAGACAAAAATAGTAGCCACAAGGGGATCAACATACACATAATCTAGTCACTGCTAGGACTTGGGATACCAGAACATTTCTAGCACAAAGAATATTCTTAGAGAGTGAATATGAATATGTGCCTATGATTTTTCAGAAGCTTAATTTTGGCAAAACTGATGATTATGTTTGCAGAGCAGGAAAACGTACACTACTGTCATAGAGGACATTCCTTGTCAAAGTCCTAATCCCTGTTCCAAAAGTAACAGGGTAATGAGTGCTCTTGAAGAAAAGGTCAGGAGAGCTATTTTTAAACGCTATAGAACTAAAAGCTTCCTTCTCAAATGTTTTTGGTGGGACTGTTTCCAGAACTGTTTACACTGGTTATTTAATTTTCTACATAAATATAATATGTTTGCATTATTAAAACATAACCAAGGTAAAGTTTAATTGACCAATTTATGCATTTAGTGTCTTAACAGTTAAAAATGGTAATGCAGCTTTCATTTTACCTTCTATACAAATAAATCTGTTTCTCCATTCACTATCATCAGGTCTGAGAATAGCTTTGGCCTCACGAACTGAAATCACTTGATTGCGCCAACTATGGAAAAGAAAAACAATTTACAGAACTTTTCACTCTTGATTTTAAATTAATATCAGTTTAAATTAAAAAAAAAAAAGGTCGATTTGCTATATCATAAGCCTGGATAACACAGTTCTTTATAATTATCAGTAACTTAGTGTGACAGTCTTAGCTTTGTAATTCACTATGCAAGCAAGGAATAATGGCTAGGAAATAATTTCCAAACAGAAGTTTGCTTACAAAAACATCTGCAAACCAGAACATCACAGGTATCATATAGTCACAACAGAGTAACTTTTTCAAAAAACAGCATCAGTTCTAATATGGACACCTACATTTATTTCAAAGTTAAAAAAATTACAGCCTAAAATCTATCTGTAGGGAGAAAAGAAACAAAGAGTTAAAGTGCAGATGAAGTCACATACTGCATTCCATTAAGAAGATATTCAAAAGTATAAAACCATATAAACGTAGCTTGCTTACAGAATTCCTGGTGCAACGAACCTAGTATTATAACACACTAATACTTTCTAATACTGAAATTTTAGATATGAATTTTAGACCTCCTACAAGTACAACAGCAGAACTCCAATACATTCAGATATATGTCTGAAGATATTCTACCATTTTCTGCACAGAGTTTTATAATAACAGAACCATAGGAAATTATCACACTGAGGAAACAGCAGGATGCTTACAAGGCAATCTTTACCATATGCCAAGCATCTTTATAATTGTTACGATGCTTGGCCCAACAATACACCAAAGGTAACAGAAGCCAAAGCAACCACTTGCAGTTTTATTTTCTTACCTACCCAGCCAGTTTTCAGCTGCTCTTAACTAAACCAGAGAAATACCATACCAGCGAAACGCTTCAATCACCAGTTATGTGTCACCAAATGCCCTCACTAAATGGTGCTCTGAAATTGCCAGACAACATATTTCTAGATGTAGTGATGTTATATACACCTGACACGATCTGACTGAATCAATCTTTTGGCATAATGCAAAGAAAGGAGCTTGGCTGTGTGCATCAACCCCCCGCAGTAAATCTCAATTGTAAATGAAAATAGAGTCTGTAATTCATCACTTATATTTGGAAGAACTCTGTGCTCTTCAGGCCAAGGACTAGCAGCTATAACTTCATTAGGTTGGTGGTGATCAGGCATTTTACACCAGCTAAAAATCCATGCTTGTAAATTGTACAGATTATCTTGGATACAACTCATGATTACAACTACTTAAGAAAGTCAGCTGTTCGAATAACCACGCTTCCATAGAACGTGTACATTATTTTTCTATTTAAGAATATGAATAGGGCCTATTTCAAAAAGGTGCAGGACACAGTACATGAAGTATGTCTTAGGATACCCCAGATTACTTATTCATCCACGGTAGTGTGTCGATTTCTCTTCATACATTCTTCAGAAAAGTAGTACAGGATATGATCATTTCTAGAATTCAATGAAAACTAACATTTTCATTCTAACCCATCACTCTCGCTGTCCTTAATTCTCATAGTAGAATACTTCTGCAGAAGTAAGAGGCATTGTGAAGCACCAAATACTTTCCTATCATGTCTTTTTAATAAACTGTCATCAGCATAAACTTAACAAGAAATTCAGATTAACTGCTCAAAAAACCCCACAAAAACCAAACCCCAAACAAACAAAGGCTAAAGGGAAAAAGTATTTGACTAGAGCATCAAAGAACCTTTAACTGCAGTTCCAGAACATTGGTCATGAAGAGAAACTGACTGCCTTTTCTGAAAGCTTTTTTAAAAATCAGAGAGATCCACGCCAGGGAGAAGAGGTGGGGGTAGGGAGAGGAAGGGCGCTTGGAGAAAGGCATACAATGAAGTTACTTGATCTGTGTTTGGTTAAACCAGGCAGTATTGTTTCACTTTGAACATGTAATGCTTCTCGACTTCCTTTTTCTCTAGGTTATACTTGGCCTGATACCTCAGCAAAAAATATATGCATTTATAATATACTGGTTTAGCCAATGACAACAACAACAAAAAAAGTGTCATTTTTAGCTATCTAAACAGCTTCTAATATGAAACTTGAAACCAGCTACTAATAGCCTCATTAAACCTTCACTAGCCTTGCCTTGGTACTAAAATCTGCCTGAATTAGAAATGAATTGCCAATAGTGAATGATTTGTACATACATTTTAACCATTTTGGCTTGCACAAAATAACTTCGTTGGTGTCAGCATGTCCTGGGTTCAGCTTAAACCACGATACAGCACAAAGCAAATATTCGCTGCATACACACTTTCAGTCCATAAGATAACAATAACCATTTAAATAGCTATTTCAATTATCAGTTATTTCTCGTGTCACTGCCCGTAGCAGGTATGTGCTTCTCATGGAGAAATCAAGAATTGAAAAGAAAAAGACCAGGCATTTCCAGGTGTAACTTGTGTATGAATACACCACAAATAGATTAAAAGGCTTATCTTTCCAGAGCTTTCTTAAAAGCCAAAGCCACTTGCACAAACACACTAAGATGGGTACAGATTGCCAGCATATTTAATTCAGTATACTAATAAACACATGATTCATTTCCTGACCAATTTTACCCTGAAGACAGCCATGAGCAACTGTATTTTATATTTTGTCACAATAATCGTACAATAGTTAGGTTTGGAAAGGACCTTAAGATCATCTAGTTCCACGGCCCTGCCATGGGGTGTAGCCAGTCTTTTATCATGTCCACCAAATACAACTTAATCATTGAGTGATCTCAAACAACTGATACAGAACTTGAAATAACACATTGAGGAGAAGTACCGTCCCAAAGGACAGTCTCTAGGTTCCCCAGCAGTAACTTCAGGGGAGCAAGGCTTTGCTTCAAGGTCTCACTTTGTAAAGAGACAGCCAAGTGAAAACCTGCTGCCTTCACTCACAGAAATGAAATCAGACACTCTTTTCAGAGGGCCTGGTAAACATGGACCAGTTTCCAAATACCTTCTTTTGAGAACACCTCCATACATTTTCTCACTTGGTCACATTCACTGTGTGATCAGCAGACCATTGATAGTTTGAAATACTTAAAGTTAGAATGGAGTTATAAGCATACTTCTAGCCAGCTGTATCATGAGAAACATTTTGCAGACCTGGATTCTTATGGTAAGCTAATTATAAATGTCAGCAATTCAAGCTCTGCCATACATAGTAAGTCCAGCATATGCAGCAATTTCCAAATCACATTTCCAGTAACTTACGAAGGAGAATACAAATTACTTCTTATGGACACACTGAAAACCCCAGAGCAGGACTGTGGAATGGGTCCTGTACGGTAATACATAGTAATCATCAATTTTCTGAAACAGCTTGTAGTCTAAATAAATAAAGCAGATTAAAAGCATAAAGAAAAAACAAAAATTAACAGAGCACAAGGAGATGAACTTATTCATGGCTGCAGAGCATGCAAGGCTCCTCTTTCTTCCTCTGTGCTCTGCTCTTTGGGCCCATCCTGCCTTTAAATATTACTCATTACATCAAGTAAAATAAAACACAGAATCTGAACTGAAATACCTACTGGCCTTTGCTAGAGTAAGGTGGAAATTTAAAACAACCTCTTTTATGTTTAAAATGTGTTTTAAAAATACATCTCCATCTTCCCTTCATCTTTCTGACGAAAACATGTGAAATGGTTGATCAGTTAAGCGTTCCAGGCAAGTGGCATCAATGACTGGATCTGTCCAAAATGACAGTCTCCACACATGATCTGATCATTCTTCACTACATGCTCTTCTTTCAGCAAATCAGATCCTGTGTATCAAACCTGGCAGTGTTGTGTCCTACTCCATAGACAGGAAACTACAAAAGTCACTTTCATGAAAATGGTAGTAGTATTTTCCTTAGTAATCTTTTCATCAAACACATTACAGTTCAATAATGGAAGTTTACTGTCACAGTACAGGTCAATGACATGGCTTAGTGTGAGGTGCCCCTGCCCATGGCAGGGGATTGGCACTAGATGATATTAAGGTCCTTTCTCAACCCTAACTATTCGATGATTCTATTCTAATTAAATGTAACCTAACTTAACAGGCAGCATCTGAAGTATCATCTAAAATTTCTGTACATTAGTAAATATTTTACAGGGAAAGTAAACGCTGAAAAAAAATTACTGATTATATCAAAGAATTATTTAACACATTCAGGAGTAAAATACTAGTTCCTCCATAAAAGGCAAAACCAAGAGCCCTGTGTTATGTGTATTTAAGTCTTATCCTCATTCCCACCTATAACATTTCCATCAGCTGTGGCCTGCGTGACACTGTACTTGCCTCATTTGCTGGCTATCACAGACAAACTCACAAATGTTTAAACATCATGTTCTGCCCACATTTCCCCCACTTGGTCATTAATTTGGATTTCTCTTCTCCAGGCAGTTACTAGGTTTTATGAAACTATACAGACTTTTCTTATCTTCGAGACACATTCTACTCCTTTCAAACAGGATTTATAGTTATCAGGTACCTACAGATGGTTAAGTAAGCAGTACACCTAACTGAGTTCTATTTCTGTAGCCGAAAGTGTTAAAAATAATATAGGTTGCTGCATTAGGTGCATCATTTCCTGATAGATTTCTCAGCCATGTAACGTTTTCAACATAGGAATTCTAATGGGTATTATTTACTTAATTTTTTTTAAACAGAGTATCAAAGGTTTTAATACTTAACAGGTACTTAACACTTGAAAAACAAGCCAGATTTTTTTTGTTGTTGGTGGTGGTTGGTTGTTTTAAAAAAATCTTTTCATCCCTTGAGGTCAGCAACTATCCTATTTTTGTTGTCCATTTTTTCAAACTTGGTTTTAACCAGAAGCTCCCCTGTGCCTCTCTGATTAGGTGATATTTTTTTCCTCATGAACATCATGAAAGATAATACTTAGAAATTACCATCAGTTCAAGTACTGATGGCAGCCTTTTTACTCTTCATATCTCTTAGAATAATGGAAAAGATATTTACTTTCACATATGAGAAGATTAACAGCCTGTTGTACAGACAAGTAGTAAAGGATGCATCTAGTCCAACGTATCTTCCAGCTTCTAGTCCAACTTGATTATCTTCCAGCTGTGTCTTCTAATTTACCTATTTAGCAAACAGCACCTTGGCCAGCTGAAAAGACAGGTACTCAGGACAAACTTTTATGACAAAAGACCATTCCCTTATCGGCAGAGACTGAAGAAAAATCCTTTATGTGAAAATCTCTCAGAATCAGGCGTAAGCATGCACAAAGTGCAATTAGTACATGAATTGCCACAGGCCATATGGATTTAGGTTATATATTACATATGTGGATGTTTTAAGGATTTCATGATCATTTCTAACATTAACTAAAATATGAACACTTCAAAAATTATAATGCATATCTAGTAGTTACACATTTTGTTCTCCTTCCAGGAAATAGTTATGAGGCACATACACAGGACAGCAACATATATGAACCAACTGCCTCAAACAAGTTCTTCAGAAGATCTTTAAGCTTATTGAAATACAACCATTTGATATTTTATACAAGCATTTTTCTAAAAAATTCTCAAGTGACAGTTTGGAAGAATGTCTGTAATATACAGCTTTCTCAGATGCCCTCACAACTTCAGCTTCTCCTTCTCTTCTACAAGAAAAGTCCAGATGCCAAAATTAAACTCAGATTCTAGCAAACCAACAAGGTTAGCAAGCCTTAGCAAGTATATAGGAGAATTCTTCTCCAGGTGTGGCCTAGTGATTTACCTCCTGGTCAGTTACTTCTGTTGACCTGGGAGGAAGATGACAAGTGCAGATACTAATAATTCATTAGTAATCCATACCATAATCTGTAACTTAAACTACCAGTAAGATGACTAGACCTTTCTCGCATACGGCTAGGCAGTTTTAGAATAGTGTAATATAACAAAACCCAGCTACTTTAAAGGCTAAAGCTCTCTAACTTCCAGCAGCTATTTTAGACAATAGGATGTGTGGCTAAGCAGAAGATGTCAGACAGTCTTTATGATTAACGGACATTCCAGTTGCCCTTTAATCTTTTCACTCATTTCCTCTATATTAGTTATCACTCCTGCATTACTGCTGTTCTCTTAAGAGTTATAAAGTGCTGATATATTGAATAGAAGGAATCAAAGCTTTGCATATTCTAAAACACTAAGATGAGCTTTTACTTACTCAAATTCTGTGGCATAATATTTGAAGAAGCCTATTAGCAATTCTCCAAGGCTTGATCCATTTTTTGAGGGGTATGGAGGAATGGCACGTGGAGCTTCATGAATATGATGCAACTGCATAGTAGGATCAAAAGATTCCTGCCAAAATAAAATCAGAGAATAGATACACACACCCCCTCCCTCCCCGAGCCGCAATCCAGATGGATGTATTTGTCACCGTAAAAGAGATGCCTGTCATTCGCTTATTAGAAATCAAGGACAACTTATAAGCAAAGGACACTTTTTCTTGTACTCCTCTGTTGGATGCTAGTTATTCTCCCTGAATTCAGGCAGAATCATCTTGCATAGGAGTATGTGAGACTATCCCTTGCCTCTATTTGCCTAAGAATTTTAACTGAGAATCTTTGAACTGGACTTGCACTTACACACTAGCAAAACCACATGAGCAGAAGCTGAGTAAGGTAGCCTGCACTGAGCTGGCCACAGCTAAGTGAGGTAGGATAGGTGAAGCTAATGCAATTATCACCAAGATCCCGTAACTGTGGTACCAAAACAATCCAAATGGAAGGCCTGACTTATTTTGCCCACAGCATAGAGTAAAATTGGATACGAAACCCAATAGTTCCAGTATGAACCTGCATCCTCCCACTTAATGAGTTCAAGGACTACAACAGCACCTCCTCTAGACAACCTATCTGAAATAATAAAACAGAAATTAGTTATCCAAAATACCCTGAATATACAGAATGCAGCATTTAAGCTGAAGTATGCTTTTCTTGGGGAGGTGGAAAGGAGAGAGAAAAGGTCAGATATTCTAAAAACAGAAGTCACAGTTGCCAGCTTGTGTGCATCTACACAAGAATAAATCAGCATGGGTTTAGATCTGCTATACTGTTTAGGTGTTCATTATATCCTTCAGGCCCTTCTAAAAGACTGGAGTACATGCAGGAGACTGTATGCTCTCTTGTTAAACGAAGAATTTTTAAAGCCTCATGCTACATTTAGAGCAATGTTGCATATTTCAAGAAAAATGAACCGAAGATAGACAACAGCAAGCTTTACATTCACATAAATAAATATATCTATTTAAATGTAGGGACCTATTCAGTCATTATTATATCATCCCTTGCATTTTGAGTAGTTTCAGGCACAACTCAAACTTTACAGTACTAGAAAATCACTGGAAGTACTATACACTGTGATATTATTTCCACATTCACAGCTGGCAGTGCTTCCTCTGAAAAAAGGTATGCAATGAAACCAGTAGGACTGGAAAGTTTGGTATTCCCATCCTATTTTGCAAATTCTAGCAAAAGATCCTGGAATCTTGAGCAATACCTTCTTTGAAAAAAGACTATTCTTTCGGCTAAGAAAAAGTTTCAAGTCTTGTTCTCACATCATATAACTTTACGTACAAAATATTATAGTTAGCAGAGCTCAGAATTTAACAGCTTACAATCCAACAAACCAAAATTGTACAGACAAACATGAAAAGCAGATATGGAGCATATAAAGATCATTAAAACGAACAGTTGTACTTATACAGTACATACAGTTAAAGTTAATCAGACAGGTATTAAAGTCACTCCTTGCCCATTCCCACAGAAAGTTGTAGAAGAGCCACAAAACCTGAACTTAGTATTAGCAGCATAACAACTCATGAGGCAATGGACACCAAAAGCAAGGAACAAGACCAAGGGCTGCTGACCTCCATACAATACAAGAAATGCAATTCAATTACTACAACAGATGTCTACTAAAACAAGTAAGCTAGTATTTGGAGGCCACAGATACTTCTGCAAAGGAGAACAAGGTGGATTTTTTTTAAACTTTGAATGTTCAAAAAAAACTTCTGAACTGCAAGAAAAATCTGCCACCACAGAAACGCTGGCATCCTGAGCAGCTAGAAAGTTAGACTTTGGGATACTATGTTCAGAATAATAAATAATCTATTTTCTTTAGCAGTATTACAAGCTTGGGGTGAACGTCTATTTCATTAACTGCTAACAAGTCTTATTGAAAAAGTATTGAAAATTGTATTTGATATCCTTCTGTTCTTTGTTGTTTTCTGGATGTAAGCATATACACACCGACACACATGCATTTCCCTTTTTTGCTATTAACTTTTACTACAACCTCTATTTGCTATATTGCCTTTTGCTATTACTGTAACTGTTGAAGTGCTTTCTTATTATTCAAATGCTCTACAAACACTAATGGAAATTAAATAGTTGTGATCAATATACAAATCATGAATAAAGTGTCCTTAAGGTCAAGACTGATAAGTAAAAGCAACATTCTCTGTAAGCTTTGACCTCTGGCGAATACACAGGCAAAACATTTCAGAAACCATAATGCCCATGCTTTGTAACAAGACCAGAATTGCTTTGGCATATTTCTCATTTTCACTTCAAAATTCTTTGCAGTATCAGTATTAAGAAACTGTAACTTTCACAATTCAATTATTTTTGGTTGGTTGTTTCCATTAGGAATACATATCTCCCAATTTCTAACACACTTAAAAAAAGTATTAATCCATAGTTTTGATCTGGTTTTATAGTAATCATGTATAAAATATTATTCTTATTTTATTAGCAATCCTAGAAAATTTAGTCCAAAGGCAAGGTAATTAACAACAGCAACAAAAAACCCTACTTTGAAAAGGGTAAAAAAGCTATTCTTACAACAGTGTTCCAGAAACACAGGAACCTGCAAGTGATTACCACTTTCACATGACACAGGATAAACCCTTACATTTAGTACAAATTCATTAGATTTTTCAGCTTATGATATTGTATACTTGCTTTAATCATTTTCAGCTTATGGTATTGTATACTTGCTTTAATCATTTAAGTAATTTTATATAGTACTCAGAAGGCCTGTATACAAGTAAAAACCACAAATATAAATATTTGCATTATTTTAACAAAGAAGTAAAAAGTTACCAATTCTTACAGTTGTTTTCTTTAAATTACATGCTGCTCCAAACTTAAAATACTACAGCATATGAGATTTAAGCAAACATAATTAGCATATTTAGCAATTCTAAAACCCCATCAGATAAAGCCAAGTGTACAAGAAATGAAACCAAATGTACAAGAAATGAAGAACAGCTTTAAATGCTTTTGAGTGCTGACAATGAAGAAATAAGAAGGTACTTAGTATGGTAAAAGAATCAGAGGAAAATATAAAGACCATAAAGATTTAATACAGGTATGCCTACATAAGTTTACAAAATAGAAATAAAACTGCAGTACTATATCTCAAAGCTTTCCTCTGCATTTGATTAACCTAATTACCCAAAATGGCTGACACCACAGTATCTCCTCCCTGATGTACAGTGTCATCAAATATTCCCATTTCAGCATTATAGGAAATACATGCAAAGAAAGAATGACTTTCTGATACTACCTCAGCACAATTTTCAGGAACAGCAGAAACCAACATAGGCAGGGACACTGAACTACGGCAACTATATATAAAGAAAAATTTTAAAAGTGGCATATGACAGGAAACGTAAGGAGGAAGGAACTGAGAAATTTCTGTTAGTTACAGCACAGAACTATTCCACAACAGCTCTTTTGTTTCCAGACAAATATTTAAGATGCTAGCTCTTATTTCTAGGTAACCTTCCTTAGATTAAGTGTCACTAATTAGAGTCCTAATTCTGCAGAGGATCAAAGCATACTGATTCACAGAGTTCTCTGGAGATCAACAGGGTATGATGTGCACATAACAGCAAAGTACCACAAGGTGTTTTCTTGTTGGACTAAAGTCCAATTTTGTGAGGTCTCAAAGGTCTCCTTAGTAAACATCTATCATTCATTCGCTGCACTCAGAAATATCAGGCAACTCAACAGCTGTGGGAAGGTATGGAATTCTGAAACACCACAGTTGGATGGAAAAATGTAACTTGACATATTATGAAATAAGAATCATAAAGTTACTGATGACCCAGGGATATTTTCAGGCAAGCATAAAGAGAACTAGGTCAGTGGCTCTCATTAGCACTCATTTTCAACTGCATGTGAAATTTTCTCATATGTAACAGGCTGTTTTCACTAAAAAAATTATCAAAAGCAGCAATAGCCTTTTTCATGCTTATATTCAGTGTATTAATGATAAGGCTTACAGACTGTGTTTAACTTAATCCACTAGTGATATTTAAGAGTTCATGTATTTTAGATAAGCAGCTTCATACACATTTGAAACAGTAAATTCATAAGAAACACTTACTGGGTAAATTTTTTGGAGAGATGGAAGGACAGGTTCAGGTAGGGCTATAAAAAAAAAAAAGAAAATAAAGTTGCTGTGATTCAAGTAATTCACAGCAAACAATATCGTATCAACTACATTAAACTGTTGGACTGAAATTCCATTTAAAAAACATAGAATCATAGAATGGTTAGGGTCAGAAAGGACCTTAAGATCTATATATTTCATGCATATTGTAAAGTAAAAGTTATTCAACAAATCTTTCTATTACTATATTTTGTATATGGGAGTACAAGGAGTTAATTCAGCTAAGGGAAGCTGTTACTCAGATACCGCTATCTGTAGAAGACATGAAAAAATTTACAGCAGCTGGGTACAACATCACTAGAAGAAACTCATCTAGATTCCCCAAATTAAAAAAAAAAAAAAAAAAAGCTTTACTCATTTTTTTTTCCTGATGTCTAACACATTATGATTCTATCATAGCATAGGAAGTCTCCAGATACTGCAAAAGCACACATCATTCTTCAGCTGCAAAGTATTACATACTGTCATAAGTAACCTAAAGATAAAATGCCCGAGATACATAGTAGGCATTGCTAGCAAAATCCCCTCAAAATACATAAAAAGTCTAATGCTGTTAACTGCTCTACTAAATGGCAAATAGGTTATAAAGATAAGGCATATATTAATGATACCAACAAACAAAATGAACTGAACAGTTTTAACTTTCATTAATGTTGTGAATGGGGAGAGCATCTATTACACACTTAATAGGGATATGAAGAACAAGGAGAAAAAAAACAAAACACAAGACCCTGTCTCGCAGGTTAGGTGGTCCTACAGATCGACAGAAACAAATCCGAAAGTATTCAGATCCCACTCAAGCCTTACAGCAGCTAGAGAACTGTTAGAGCACTCCTCATATTAAAACTTTAACATCATGTTATCAGCATGTTTTTGTTAGTTTTTTAAATGATTTGTCTACGTCATTCACTAGGAAGAATGATCTTAAGTTCAGCATACAGGATTTTGACCTGGCACTTAATTTACCCTTAAGACAAGGTGTCATAGGGGAAGAGATGTTACAGATCCTTTTCCCATAGGGACTTAGAAGCAGAATGACAGAATTTTCAGAATGTGCTTAGGTTATCTTCAAAGAGTATACTATATTAGCTAGTGGGATTGCTCAGAATATGATCACAGCTGCTTTAATATTTTTATTTTGTTTGTGGGTGTTTAAAAATATGCAAGAGCATCTTATTTCTGAAGCATCTTGGATAATTTCCAGTTCTCTGCCACACTAAAATAAAAGGAAAAAACCTCTGAGCAATACAAGCAATCAAGACATTTTATCTTGGTCTGTATGCTATACTAAGAGGATGGAATTAAGGGTAAAAAACTTATCACCTACCACTAGCATTTGCCACATGAATTTTTATTTTCTTACTGTACAAGATAGTTGGACCTGTCACCTGGAGGGAAGTTCATGTACAAGACACTGACCTATCTACAAAATAAACTCACAACATGCTAATTCTAGGTCCAAAAACATCTACAAGTATAAGAACATGGAAATGGATAAGTAGTAAAGGAAAGAAATTTGCCTAGTAAAGACAGGGACACTATTTTCTGCAAAAGGAAGCTTTAAATTTTAGTTTGTTTACCCTCACCAGTAAAATCTCTATTAGAAATTCTGCTATTAGAAATTCTATGACTAGGACACAAGCTACTCTCAGTAGCATCACATGCATGTAGCAGAAATGTAAAACCCCCCAAAGCAACACAACTACTACAGGTTAAAATCTGCACAAGAATCTAATTAGCTTCTGCTAGATACACATCCAGAGCCACACGTCAGTCTTTTTTATCACAAAAGGCTGACAAAGGCACAGGTAAAAGGCTCCTCTTTGGTTTGCAGACTGTTGATCCTTCCCAGGCAGCTAACTGATGACAGTTTAGGATGAAAAGGATTATTTGAACTTTTTTTTCCCCCTTCACTGTAGTGACAGCTGTGGCAGCTGCCACAGACAACTACAGCAAATGCCCTCATGCTTGCAGGGTTGTTAACGTTCTGGCAAGCCCACACATTTATACTTCCTTGTAACTCCTACATGCTTCCCTTTTGTGAATTACTTTAATGCACAGCTCAGTAATTGGCTATCCGTGACTGCACACAGCACCCAATACAAGTCTCTAGAGTAACCGTGATACAATGAAAATAAGATTTGGAGAATAAATCTCCAAGTAAAAAGTCCTATTTCCATTAAATGTGTAATACTACCAAATGCTTACCAAGTCACTGTTAAGATGGTCACTAATGCCTAGATGTATCTTTACTACGTAAAGATTCTTTTTCTCTTCTGCTCATGCTTCACCTTTGCATAGAAATCTTCACATCCAGAATCACTTTGGCATTTTTAAAGTTCATTGTATTTTCATCTCCTCCGAATCAACATTTTTTGTTTGATTCCCCTCTTCTCCTGATGTGTATTGAGGGTCTACATTGAAGTACTTCATCACCTATAGTATGGTTTCAGAGCTGTGACCACAGACTTGGCCACATTTTCTTTCCACAGAAACAAAGAAATCCATGGAATTCCACCACAGCAGATGAAGAGAAAAAAACCCAACACAGTCATTAAGTAGACTACCTTATGTCCTACTGTCCTCATGACTGGTAACATTAACAACAAGCGCAAGTATGGGCATCAAAGAATTCAGAAACAATCAAACCAACTGTATCTCAAATACACAGAATGCCCTTCTAGGTCCCTCTGCCACACATATACTGCTCAGCTGAAAGCAAGCCATCAGCTTAAGTCAACTATCATGTAAGGCTTTCCACTCTAGTACAGAGTGGGTGTAACACAATCTCGAGACCCACAAATAGTTGACTATCCACTCTACAGCTAGTATCTACTTTCCAGGCCAAACAACCTGTCAGAAGAGTTAAACATTGCTTCTACCCAAGTCAAAAAAAAAAAACCAACAAAACACAATCCCCCAAAAAAACGAACAAAAAAAAAAAACCAACCAACCAAACAAAAAATTAAAATCCACACAAACCAACAAAGAGGAAAGATCCAAAGTAAGAGCCTACGTAATTTGTCCACAGATATGACCATAAAACATTAATAACCAGTTGTCATTAAAATGACACAAAAATAATCAGCATGTTACAAAGAAGTTAAAATAAAGATGCAAAATAAATACAAGCAGCAAAATACACAGTTTATACTACAAAACTAACAAGAATTAAGAAAATATTTCTACAGACATGCTACACCACAAGATGTACACCTCTGGGGTTCCTTGTGCTCCTTTCTAAAGACACCTGTCCTGCAGTAAAACAAAAAACTCATGCTAAGCTAAACAATCTATTAAATGATGCCTTAAGTCTTAAGCAAAAATTGCAAACTACAAAAATCACAAACATGTGCTTCCTTTAATGAAAGGAGGAAAGACAGGGATAAGCCAGGCTGAATGGGCCTTTGAGCAGCAACCTGGTCTAGTGGAAGGTGTCTCTGCTCATGGTAGGGGGGGATAGAACTAGATGATCTTTAAGGTTGGAACTAGATATCTTTAAGGTCCTTTCCAACCTAACCATTCTGTGATCATCATTCTATCAGCTTGTTTCAGTCTATTCCTTGAAAACATTTCTGGACTGCATGGGTTTGTTGAATTTCCAGAGGTAAAGCTCTCTAGCTCCACATAGATATTCAATGTTTCAACATACTGAAGTAGCAAGAAAAGATACTGCCACTGACAGGCAAATATCCCAACTTTTGGGTTGGGATACAATGGTCTTTGACATCTGTCACCTTACAGAAGACACTAATCAGTGGAAAAATGTAATCACATGGTAGTGCATTCTATACTCCCATGTGTCATTGAGGACACTGTCTTCCATGTTCAGTCCTTCAAAGGATGACAGAAAAGTGACCCCACAGCATTTGTTATCCCTTCGAATTTTCTTAGAAGTTCCCAAATGAAACCTAACAAAACAAACCCCCCCAAATTATGTTTAGGTTTTTCCCTTTCTTAAAAAGCAGATTTTTGTTAACTAGAAATTGAGTTTTAAAAGAAACACAAGTTATACAGTATCCTGCAGGCAAACTGACTTTTTATTTTTCAACCTTTCAGAAGGTGGCAACTCTGCCTTCAGAGAACAGGTCAACTTGCAGCATTAAGGAAATGGGAGTAAACCCACATTACCTCTGTATTTTTCTGTGTTGAAGATGACTCCTGCCAGTGTTTAATGTTATTGAACAGGAGAACTATATAAATATGAACTTACAAAGGGCAGTTTCAACATGTAAAACAATAAAAATATATATATATATATATATACTTACTCTGTAAATAGTGCAAAACCATCAACACAAGACTATAGCTGCTTAAAGTACCACGACTGGCATCATTTATGTCATGAAAACTTGCCCACTTCTTAATAACAAGTACTAATGGACGAACTCGATTTTCCACTGCAAGTAAAATAAATACATCACAAAAATACCCACATTTAACTAGACAGCAATCAATGTTTGTTTCTACTTGATCAACACAATATTTTTTATTCCAAAGTTATCTTTTTTCCATCATTTTATAGAATTTATTTAGTTGTTCTACAATTACTATGCACCTTATAAAAATCAGAAAACAATATTTCCATTTGAAAACACATTACAAGGGGTATGTCAGGTAACTTGCAGAAAAGACAAAACTGGATGCATCAGTCAATGCAGCAGTGTCACATTCTACTTTTAAGTTCTGTCCAGTTCATTATACTAATTTTCCTAATTAACTTGAAGTCAGGGCAAATTACAACTGATTTTTTTTTAGGTTCTAAAAACCTCAAGGGCAGCGAAAAGAACTCTCCCAGCTGGAGGACACAGAGCTCATTCTTAAGTTTTCCTCAAAATCTATAAAAGTAGTAACCCCTGCATACAAACATTAATTTTAAATTTGCCTTGGCTTCAATGGCTTTTATGTAGATGAGACGTTAGATGCAAGAAGTCATCAAATCAAGATATATGCTTTCATGAGGAAAGACATAAATACAGCCATATATCAGGAATGATCTTCCAAACTTCTGAGGAATATCGACAGCCTTTTAATTAAAGTAGCAGTCTGTTGCAGGGAGATGTCACTCACCATCCTAGAGTACATTTAATTTATTATTAAACAGGTCCAGCTCCCACAGTTTCTCCTCACAAGAGAGATGCTCCAACCCCTGATCATCCCTGTGGCCCTCCGCTGGACCTCCTCGAGTAGCTTCTTGTCTTTCTTGTGCTGAGGAGCCCAGAACTGGACACAGTTTAATTGAGTTGCAGACATGCCTCCTTAGGCAGAAAATTGGTAATACAACAGCACAGACCTCAGTTTCTAGCTCTGCTTAATCTACCTGCATTATCTGTGGATAAAATTAACTAAGTTACTAATTATATATAAAATATAAATTAATAAATTTATAAAAAAAAAATTATTGGCCTCATAAAAGTGGACAGCAATGCAGAACAGAAAAAAAGGTGGGACACGAGTACCCCTTCCACTGCTCTTTTCACAGCTGGAAAGTTTTCTGTCCTACAGTGATTTGCTGAGAGGAATAAGGGACATTTCCGTAACTTTTTTAAGCCTGGGAGGAAATCCTTTTCCAGGCATATGCCTTCCTGAATATATGAAAAAAATCACAGTTAACCAACTGATCCAGGACAAGTTGCAGACTCTCCTAGTAATGTGAATACAAAACACTGAAACTACTCTGACTGAAACATTAGTAAAAAGTTAACTAGTAAAGGTAACTTCTCCTAATCACATTCTACCCTAAATGGAAGTATGCAAGAGCTGAAGAAGGTGGTAAAGGAATAAGGAGTATCTGGGAACCGCAGATGTCCAGGATAGGCTACAGTTAAACTAACTGATAAATAGGAGGATTATTATGTCTCTGGTGCTAATGAACCAATTAAACTGGTATGAGCATCTACTGGGCGTGCTTCAAAGGCTGCCAGAAGTGATGAAGATTGTTGGAAGAAGTAAATGACCCTCAGAGACCACCACCACAGTTCTGTTAGCATGCGGGGAAATTTCTGGAAAATTATGTAATCCATACATAGCCTCATGAATATGTAGGTATGCCCAGTGACTATAAAAGGACGGCTTGTGTGGCAACTGGGAGACACACGTTAGAAGGAGCTATCCCCCATGTCTCCCGGCGCCGCAATAAAGAATACCTGCTTGTCAGCTTGAAAACTTTGTTGGCAAGTTTGTTCCTGGAGTTTTCTCCGAATCAATTAGCACCCTTGTAGTATAAATGCGGACCTTAATATGAAGCATCTTTGTTATCTTCTGAATATAATATTCAATTAAAAACATATATTGGTTTTCTCTATTTATTTAGAATGAGTAACATGAATGTATCTTGAAACTATCTGATGCAACCAATTAGGTAATGTTACATATATAGTAACCTAATATACCCAACTGAGCTTTAATAGTCTATTAATACCAAAATGTAATTTCAAAAAGCAGAATTTATAGAAACAAGAAAATACATTAAAAACTTACTGTATGCATAGGTTCTCAAAAGGAATGTATTTCTTATTCCCACAACACTGTTCACATTCAAGTCAAACTCCACACAGCTGTTGGGAAGGAGAAAACAAAAAGAATCAGATATCATGGTATTAAATTTCAGAGTATTTATTACCTGCTTGGTGATAGAGGTGGAGAATATAACTTTGTGATGGTACTCTAAAAACTGTCTTCAGAGTTTTGATGCTGCGATTTCTACTCTGAATTTTTTTATAGTACTTGAATCACAGAATCATAGAATAGTTAGGGTTGGAAAGGACCGTAAGATCATCTAGTTCCAACCCCCCTGGAACCCCCCACCTCACACTAAACCATGCCACCCAAGGCTTCGTCCAACCTGGCCTTGAAGACCACCAGAGATGGAGCATTCATAACTTTCCTGGGCAACTCATTCCAGTGCCTCACCACCCTAACAGGAAAGAATTTCCTCCTTATATCCAATCTAAACTTCCCCTGTTGAAGTTTTAACCCGTTACCCCTTGTCCTGTCACTACAGTCCCTAGTGAAGAGTCCCTCCCCAGCATCTCTATAGGCCCCCTTCAGATACTGGAAGGCTGCTATGAGGTCTCCGCGCAGCCTTCTCTTCTCCAGGCTGAACAGCCCCAACTTTCTCAGCCTGTCTTCATACGGGAGGTGCTCCAGTCCCCTGATCATCCTCGTGGCCCTTCTCTGGACTTGTTCCAACAGTTCCATGTCCTTTTTATGTTGAGGACACCAGAACTGTACACAGTACTCCAAGTGAGTGAATTCCATTGTTAGAAAAAAAATATACTTGTTGGTTTACAAAAAGAATACACACAGATCCAAATTTAGACCTTAGGATAACTAAATATGCCAAATTTTGATTTTTAACAAATCTTCCTCCAAACTAGACTTGCACTACATGATTTACTATGGACAACTTTCAAAGCCAGGAAGGATTCTGAAGTGTTAGTTTAGAAAAACATGCTGATGAACTGTGATAGAGAACTGGAAGAGGTCAAACAGTAAGACTCTCTTTTTTGCAATGATTTTCAGAGATAATCAGTAAGTACTTTAAAACTAGAAATGTCTACTAGTAAACACTGCATGTTTTGTGATAAAACAATTTTCATTAACTGTTTCATGCTGTTAGCAGCAAGTAAGAAAGAGGAAAACAAGCACTCCCTGCTTTATTTATATCACAATAAGTTTGAATCTCATACCACATCTAGAGCTTAATGACACACAATACTAAAAAAACAGATATTAAATTCATAGTCAGTAAGCTACAGCAACACCGTATCTCCCAACAAGAGTAGCCTATTATTGACAAAGAAGTAGCTATTTGCAATGTACAGCTATTTCCATTTTATTCATCCAAGCCTCATTCACATAGTATCTTCTTGCTTGAATACTCCTTTAGATTGTTTTGAATTATTGTACTGAGTTTATTAAACTGGATAAAATATTAATGTGATGCCCATGAAAGTTTTTTTATACCATTAAATCTAGTAAGTTGTTCTTTGCATCAAAAATACTACATAATTTTAAACATGAATTAATATCAAGCATGACTTTTAGATTTAAGAGCACAGTACATAATAGAATAGGAAATAAACAACCTAGAGCTACTGTTTGACATTTGTAAAAACAAGCATAAACACCAGTAATAATATTAGTTGTATGTGCAAATATAATAAAGAAAAATGTTAGGCTGCATGTGTAATTCCAATTAACCCAAATTAACAAGATTACTATTTACTAGATACTGATTAAGCAAGTTCCATTGCAGTTATTTTGTAATTTAATATGAACATTTAATAGATACTACAATTATGGCAGGTGAAGATTTTGTACTGTTGGGACTCAAGTTCTACTAAAAGCACTACAGGAGAAAAAAAAAAAGTTAACTGCACATCGAATGTGGTAGAAGCAGTTTTTGCATCCTCTGTAGTACAGAAATCTTGTTAATTAATCAAAGGCTTGTCTGGCAGCAGAATCTGCATTCAAGATATGTCTTTAGGTACAATGGATCTTCCTTATGCTACAGCGCTAGAAAAAAAACTTTAAGATGAGAAAGGAAAACAAACACAAACTGAATGCTTTCTCATTCACTAAATCAAGTGGGAAATGGCAATTTACTGGAATATATGGACCATTGGCAACACATTAGATCCAGATGCAGAGACACCACCCATTGAATTCCACCATATTCTCCCAGCAGACAAGCATCAAATCTGGCTTTTACAGGGAGCTTGTCATGTTTAGTTTCTGGTTTTGGCTAAAACAAGCTTAGGGTACAGAATATCCAACCCATTTTCAAAACCAATGTGAAGAATGGAATAAGCATGCATGTATATAAGTCCATGAAAGACAAAGGCTGGTAAGAAATTAAGAGACTGAAAATTGCATAAAAAGACAAAACACAGGTGAGCCAGCAGGTTAAGTAATATAAAGATAACTGCAAAGAGGTGTAGGGGGCAAACCAACCAAACCAAACCAACCCATACACCCCAGCCCCCAAAAAAGACAACCCACTCCAAACCAACAGTCCCTTCCACCCAAAAAAAACTCAAAACACTACAACTCAACCCAAAGTCATGTCATTTCCCACTGCTCCCCTCTTCCAGAAAAAAAATGGAGGAAACCAGATGGTGAATAGTACTGTGGGTTTTTTCCTTCTGAAAAAATATAATGGGCAATTTCTAGTTTAAGCAGATTATACATTGATTTAGTAGGAAATAAAGAATTCTTTAAATCCTGTCTGTAAGGTATATGAATATCATGACTGTTACCAGCTGGATTTTTGTTGGTGGGTTGTTTTTTTTTTTTGTGTTTTTTTTTTGTTGTTTTTTTGTTGTTGTGTTTGTTTTTCTTTTTTGTTTGGTTTGGGTTTTTTTGGTTTTGGTTTTTTTTTTGCAAGTGGCGATAGTATGGACTACAAATGCAGAAACAGATTGATGGGGTTGGGAAGTACCTCTGAGATCATGCAGCCCAACCTCCATGACAAGGCAGGGCCCCCTAAAGCACGTTACACAGGAACACATCCAGGTGGGTTTTGAATGTCTCCAGAGAGGGAGACTCCACAACCTCCCTGGGCAGCCTGTTCCAGTGCTCTGTCACTCTCAATGCAAATAAGTTCTTCCTTGTGTTGAGGTGAAACTTCTTGTGGTTTGGTTTATGGCCACTGCTCCTCGTCCTGTCCGTGGGCACCACTGAAAAGAGGTTGGCACCATCCTCCTGACACCCACCTTTGAGTATCTATATGCATTAATGAGATCCCCTCTCAGTCTCCTCTCAGCTAAACAGGCCCAGCTCCTGCAGTCTCTCCTCATATGAGAGATGCTCCAGAGGCCTGATCATCCCTGTGGCCCTTCACTGGACTCTCCAGTGGTTCCTTGTCTGTCTTGTGCTGAGGAGCCCAGTTCCCCAGTATTGATCCCTGAGGAACACCATTGACTACAGGCCTTCAACCGGATTCTGTTCTGCTGATCACAACCCTCTGAACTCTGCCATTCAGCCAGCTCTCAATCCACCCCACTGTTCATTCATCTAACTGCATTTCCTAAGCTTACCTATGAGGATGTTATGGGAGACAGTGTCAAAAGCCTTGCTGAAGTCAAGGCAGATAATATCCACTGCTCTCCCCTCGTCAACTACCTTGCCATGTCATCATAGAAGTCTTAGATTGGTCAAGCAAGATTTCCCCTTGGTGAACCCCTGCTGACTACTCCTGATGACTTTTTTTCTTTTTTTTTCTTCTGCATGCTTGGTGATGACCTCCAGAGCAGCCTGTTCCATCACCTTTCCAGGGATGGACATGAAACTGACTGGCTGGTAGCTGCAATAACCACTTCCATACTTAAGGCTTCTTTTTAAAGTTTATTCTCCAATTTAAAATTGCTACAAAATCGCTACTTATTCAGTATTTGTATCAGGAATTTACTACTTCATGTGCACTTTATATAGTATATATAGCTGTATAACCCAAACTTTGGCTTGACAAGTTCAGCAGTTTCAGAAAGTGTGGGAGAAACAACATTTGCATTATTAAATGAGAAAGAAGATAAAAATTATTCAAACTTTTAAAAGGTAAGAAAGTATACAGAAGTAAATATGGAAACAGATGTAACTGAAAGTATAAAGAAAAATTCTGACAAGTGTTACATAATCTCAGATGCAAGAAAAGCTTAAACGGATGATATTTATTAGTTTAAATTGTGAACATGACACTTTCAGTTTTATCACCCCAGGGCTTGTGTCCTGATAAAGGTGTATCGTCTTAAAGCATATTGTGATATGCTTTTATAAAGAGAGATCAGAACAGTGGTCTTATTTGTTTTTTAAAGACAGACAGGGCTGCAAAATTTCAGAAGCATAGAGACAGGATGAGACAGATACAAGAGAGTTCTTCAAAGTCCTACTGACAATGAATAGTCAAACTATGTTATTACATGAAGGTGATACATGTAAGCCTTATAAAATCAAAGCCCATAAATATAGGGAGATTTAAACATTACTCAGACGTCCAACCAACTTCAGTGCTTTGTACAACTTTTTTCCTCTGTCAGATACTTTTATCACATACAGTAAGAAAGAAAATTGTTCTCTGTCCTAGTACATCCCTCTTGATTACTCATTTTCATGTTTTTTGTAATGAAGATACAATGAACACAGTAATATACAACACATCCACTTCTCTCAATTCCTTCCACCTCCTAAAAAAAAATGACATACTGAATAGAACATGCAATGCTACTTTGTTAAATGCAGAATACCTCCCTAGAAGACAGCAGAATATACTATTTTAGAATATACTATTCTAAATAATAAACAATTTTTTTAATCAAGAAGACAATCACAAGAAACTACAGTTTACTGTTGTGTGTAAACACTGTGAATTAGTCCTTAAGTCGCTCAATAGTTATGTTTACAAAGCAGCACAATTACCTTTCACAACAGTTCTCTTCCCACCATTGTTTTGTCATAAACTATTTGTCAACTGGAGTCCACTGTGTACAAATAACCCACAGAAGTGTGATATACTGCTACTAACTCACATCACAAACTTAACAGCATCTTAACCATGAGAGGTGTTTCACGCCACCAAAGAAATCAGCTGACTGCACATTAAGTGTACAAATTTGCAATATAACAACTATAGGACAACACAGATAGATAAACAAACCATGACTTCAGTGGTACTACTCACCTGGACAGCACACATACAGAGTACTTCACCACATCAGAATCTAAAAAATTGTTTTGAACAGAATACTTGCCTGACTTTATCCCTGAACCTCACTATTGGCACTTTTGCCCGAATCAGCTGAGGTCTCTCAATGTAGGTTGCTGAAAGGGAGAAAAATATGCAATCAAGTTTCAAGTAAGATGCTGATCTTAAAAAAAAACCCTAAAGTGGAGTCATACTGACTGATTTCTAGCAAATAGTAGCTTATTAAATTTAGAAAAAATATTCTCAGAAGGGTTGTGCTAAACTAAGTAAGCTTTAGCAACTGCAGCAAAAATACAATCTAGGAAAATGTGTGTGGAAAAATGTCTAATATTTAGAGAAAAACATAAGTGGAAGATTTTTCTGTGGGAAGCATATTCAAGAAATTTGAACATAAGGAATGCAGCTCTACAGTGCTTTCACTGAGCAGTACTTGTAACAGAAGTCCTGAAGAGTTGCAATTCAGGTTCAAAAAGAAGGGAGCCAGAGACTTAACACCCAGCACTACCTTACAGCAATGGGCACATGATCAGCCACATAATTTAATTGTGCTTAGTTTGCTTACAGTTGAAATATATATTTTACTGATAAATAATTAATGCAGCTTTCTTCACTATGCATTGATTATGCTTAAAACTTCCTTTTAAAAACTGTTTATCTGACTTATAAAGTACATACCAAGAAATACATACCTTATTGAATTGTAACACTTTCCAAATATAAGCTTTGTCTGCCTTTTGCTTTAACGGTGACAGGACATGCAATAGACATATAATCACAGGACTGCCTCTCAGGTGATTATCTACACATTATTGACACATAGACTTAATGCTAGACCATCCAAACCCGAACATACTAAGGTGTGACAGAGTCATACAGTTCCACCAAATACACCTTTGCACTAAGCTCCCTGAAACTGTTCTGTCAGTCGTTATCACCCGCAAATTTCCCTATTCTTAACGATATCTCAGGGTATATTTAGTAGTCCCCATGATCCTGAATAAGAAATGCAGCCAAGAAAGTAATGGAAAAGACAAAGAAAAGCAGAGCCTGTAGGTCACATATGAATTTGGGCAAAAGGCATGAACCTTAGCACAGTCGAGATACGGTTTGTAAATGAACTAAATCCAAATGGAAAGACCCATATGGCAAAACCTTTCATTTTTGAATCAGGTGAACATTTTCAGATAACATCTATAAGCTCTGTCCACAGAGCACCTATACACAAACACACTGACAGATGGCTAGATGTTAAGAACTCATGCCCATGTTAAGATCATAAAGAGATGATCCAAGAGGTTCTGGATCTACATACCCACAACTAGGACAGTCTGACAAGAGCAGTAGCATCAGCAGTGTTTTGCCCTGCCTTACTTTCCAAAGAACATTTTGATTAAATGAAGCTGACCAAAGCCACTTGCAAGAAGCAGATAATTATCAAAAAAAACATCAAAAAAAGCATTAGAAATGAGCAATGGCACAAACAAAAATCCTTCAGGGATCACACACATAAACATGTCTTTCCAATACTCATATTCCCCAGCAAACAAACTTGATTTTGTCTAAAGCGCTGTCGCAGAATACAGCCTCTTGGAAAACAAGTAAGCTTATGTAGATGCTCTCTTTCTGATTACTGAAAACACAACAATTTTATCACTGTACTTCTCAGAAAGCACCAGAATGACTTGTATCCTGGGCTAAACCAAACTAAGTTCTGGACTTCCTAATGTAAACATCAATATACGATAGTAATAAGCCATTAAGTATCAGCTACCCATTCTATAATGGATCTGTCAAGTCTCTCCAAGTAAGCTGCTGAGATCCAGGTACACACATTTGCCACTAAAGAAATTCTGAAGTCTGCATTTAAACTTATTGTTTGTCCTTTCCTTTTACCATTGCAGGACAGTTCAGAACAGCAATATAAGGAGTGGCATTAAAGAACATACCACAAGTCTGAGAAGTAAGGGGAGGGCAGTCACTTATATCAATAAATGACAGGGTCTTTTCTAATTCCACAAGGATGGTACAAAAGCTGATCTGAAGTTAAGGGTACTCACATTTAAGTCAGGAACTGCCCAAAACAAGAACTTACAAGAATTATAAATTGACCTGTTTTGCCTATATGCACTGGTACTGTCAACATTTAGTATTTTCTTCACTAGGCAGCTATGTTAATTATTTCACTGGTATCAAGGTTCCCTATCCCCCACCCTCCTCAATTCTACACAGTCTGCTCTGAGTGACATTTTAAAAATTCTTAAGAGCATTGTTCCCAGGAAAGCATTGCAATCTAAAGAAGCAGAAGGACTTCACTGACAGAGGTGTCCCTAACAGAAATCTACTTCTCTGCTCATGCCCTCCAATCCCACCAGGGTCCACAATTCAGTCATTTTAGATGCCATCCATTCTTGAAGTCCACTAGTCTGCGAGGCAAATGTTAACTTTTTTTGATTACTATCCATCAGCACCAAGATAGGTGGCATTACTAAACATTTATAGCTTTTCTCCAAACAATACTGTGATTAGAAGCTAGATAAGATTCAATTACATACATTAGTTACAACTGTGCATCAATATCTCTTTCAGAATTGCCAGTAATCTTACCACCTCACTGTAGCCAGGAACTTACAAAGGCTAGTACTGAAGAGGTTTTGGACTAAGCTGAGGATGTTTCTTGCTTCAGTCTTCTGATTTACCTGGAATATGGTATTAAAATTACAGTATCTCTCATTTAAATGTTCCAAGTAATCACACTTTGCTTTTCAAATAAAATTAATTCTCAGAGTAAGACATAAGCATGTATACCAAAACATTCCACAGTCTACATATACCTTTAGTGTGGTAAACACCGCAGAGAACAATTTGTATTTGATATGCAAAGCTACTATCAGACATTCACAAATCAAAGAATTTTATGAAAACATAGCCCCACTTACACAAAAAAGTCCTCTCCTTCCTTTGCAATGCTACTTCCATTCTTTCAAAATTATGCTTTCTTTAGATTTTTTGTTACATCTTTTCCTCAACATAAACTCAACTCAAACATTTCCACTCAAAAATACTTCAGATTTTTTGTATATCAAACTCATACTTACACCTGCTCACTAAAATGAATCTAAACAATGAACAAAAAAAACTTACAAGTTTTTCCTGCATCTAAAATGAGGCAGCATTCTCTAAATTCTCTTCATGATTCTAGGCAACTTACTTCCCTGTTTTGCTGTGTGTTTTCCACATACAGAGCAAGGTAATGCTTATTTTTTAAATGTTTTGTTGGCCTAAAGGGTTTATAGGGTTAAACTCGTATCTGCAACATTATTTGTCCCACAGTTCATAGGTATTATAAATGCAAAGATACGTTATATAATCAAAAGGATATGAGCATTTGTTTCACATTTTAGAATCCAGCCTTATAAAAGCACAGACATTTTAAAAAGATACTTTATTTATGTTTTATGTTACTTACTGGTTCTTCTTTAACCACCAGGCACAAGTCACCATCACTGCTACGAGTGCCAAACCCATTCAGGGAGGACCCAACCAAAAAGAGTCTGCTGTCTGTAATAGAGGAATCACAGAATAAAAACTGATGTGACGCATCATAGTTCAAGAAGAAGGAAGAACCACAAGCCTAAAGAACATTCAAATTGATAGTAAACAAATTCAAAACATACGTGGAAAAAGTCGCCGAATTTCTCTCTGGAGTTGTGTTCTGCAGACCTCTTTTTTGTGCAAATCACAAGTCTGTTGTTGACATGCTTGAAATAACTCCAAAACCTGCTGACTTAACTAGATATACATATTCAAAAAGTAAAGATACAGAAAAATGAACATCCTTTCCTGAAAGAGATGCAATTACATGAAATACAGAAGACTGTATTTTGCATGACCTATTACATTGTCTAGAGTTAAACTGCACTGGAATTCATATTGAACAACTCCCCAAAAGAAAATCCTGCAAAGTTTTTAAATTCCTTCAATCTGTTATGTCTACCCACAGAAAAATATTTTCTGCATTATTAACATCTGCAGCCTTTCAAGGAATAAGCAGTATCTCCTGACTTTAACATCAACAGTTTGCCTACCAGCAACAAGAAGAAAAATAAGTATTAAAACTGATTAAAGTTAGCTTTTTTTTTTTATCCCACAGAAACTAATGAAGATGTGGTAGAAGTCAGATCTTTGGTGGAAGGAGATATTGTTTCTCTTTCATGACACTTATATGCTGTAATCAACAGGCATTTTATACTAAAAAAATCTGTCATGTTGGTGCAGCAGAAGTATGAAGACTGATGAGCCATGTTTTGGGTTTTTTAACTAAAAAAGAACAAAAAAAATCAGAGTAGCAACTCCACCGTCCACCTAAATAAGACAACCTCTTTCCTATTACAGCATAGCTAAAATAGTGACTTTTATCTCCTGATGAGAGGCACAAAACATCTTTACAGGCCCAATATCCTATGTACTCAAAACAAGCTTCTCTGACATTACTAGGGTGGCCTTTTTTCATCAGTATTCTCACTACCCTCAGTCAGGTGACAAATAGAACTTTCCTCCAATTTCTACTTCTTGGAGCAGACATACAGGTTTCCTGACATTAGTACTGAAACTAAATCTCCTACCCCCAAAATGTGCTCCAAACCCAAGCACACAGGAAGGCTACATAGCACCATAGTGGCAGCCACATTTACTGATATTCCTCATTGATATCGAACCCTGCCTACTCAGAAGGCAGATGTAAGGCACAGACATACAAAGATACTACCTTATCTTTGGCCACAGGGAGAGTGGTTTGTGTAGGTTCTGGAAACAAAGTATATCGAACCAGAGGTACAGATCCAGTTAAATCTGGGACGTGATGTGCATGAAAGAGTGGAGATTGAAATGATCCTGGAAAAGAGTATCTACGTTCTTCTGGTAAAAGCACTGCTTGGTTAATTCCAGCTGTTTCAGAATGATGTGAATGCAGTCGGTGCCGCTTGACATTATATGGGACACTTTGTTCACTTAGTCTCCTAAAAAGCAAACAAACAAAAATGAAATGCAAACCAAACAAAATACCCCCCAGCAAAAACACAAAAGGGGGAGACAGTAATTCCTCTAGTTTGCAAACTCCAAATTATGATTAAAAGACAGTTGCTACAAACTAAAAACACCACACCTTAATTACACGACTATTAAAAGCAAGTATTCTGCAGAACAAAAGGCATGCTCATCCTAGACATTAGATGAAATAAATGTGGTATGGGAAGAAAGAACACACAACTGCAAAAGTCGGTCATACCATTTCACTGACAACATTTTTTTTTTTGGTCAAAGATATGCACAGACTACATAAAGGTACTTTTGTTTTAAATCAATTCAACTGCAGTGAGAAGTTTTTTGAGTTCTGAATACCCAGTGATGAATAAAATAAATTCAGTAGCGGGGAGGGAAGGAACAGAAACATCGCAATAGCCATTCAAAATGTAGCATTTGTCTGTTTCTTAGATTGTACAGACAAGTTAACTGTATAATCTGGGCAAAAAAGAAAGTTATTTGACAAATCAAATTAATGACTGTATTAAGCTACACAGTCATAAACATCATGTCTCATTTCCAGAGAGTAGTCTGTATCTCCTTATTAAGTAATTTCTCACAGAATTCAAATACACTTGAAAAGATATATTTAAAGTGATCTTACAGACAACCCCTTGGCATCTGAACTCTTCATTAAGAATTTGTACAGAAAGCTGGCCAGTGTTGAATACTGTGGCACATCCACAGTAAGAATAAGCAAGGACATTCATGATCAGGGGACTGGAGCACCTCCGATATGAAGACAGGCTGAGAAAGTTGGGGCTGTTCAGCCTGGAGAAGAGAAGGCTGTGTGGAGACCTCATAGCAGCCTTCCAGTATCTGAAGGGGGCCTGTAGGGATGCTGGGGAGGGACTCTTCACTAGGGACTGTAGTGACAGGACAAGGGGTAACGGGTTAGAACTTCAACAGGGGAAGTTTAGATTGGATATAAGGAAGAAATTATTTCCTGTTAGGGTGGTAAGACACTGGAATGGGTTGCCCACAGAAGTTGTGAATGCTCCATTTCTGGCGGTGTTCAAGGCCAGGCTGGACAGAGCCATGGGTGACATGGTTTAGCGTGAGGTTTCCCTGCCCATGGCAGGGGGGTTGGAACTAGATGATCTTACGGTCCTTTCCAACCCTAACTATTCTACATTTTGTTTATACACCAAATATCACAAAGTTAACCTGTACGTGGGTACTCACCCATTTTTCTAATTAAAAAATCATGAAATCAAATATTCATATATATCAATGAATTAAGTGTGAATAAAATTATGGTCATTTCTTGTAGTTACAAAAGCCAGCATCAAAGCAGTCTGGGGACCTGGAAAGATAGCATTCAACTGTTTTCATCAATTTAACTGAAAAGACCTCAAGTCATCATTTCAGTTTTCAAGTCTAAGAGAATTTCAGATAACGATACCTACCCACAACCTTAAAAGAACTCATAATGTAACACTAAATCAAGACATAACAATGTTTCAACCTATTTTGACTGGGAAGAACTTGCATGAACTCATGTTCACCAAAAATATCTTAAGAGTCCACTCAAGATCTAAGGATTTGCTAATTGACTGCAAATCTCCTAACACAGCATAACTTTCCATAAGCCAAACTGGTCAAGAGGAAATCCCTACAAACACGTATCAGCTACTGTTTCTGAACTGATAAGAAACTTTCCATTTTTCTAGAATGTTAAAAGTAAAACTGTACATTCATCTGAAATTCCTCTGTTGTAACTAAAGTAACAAAGGAAGATAGGTAATTTCAAGTAAGTTCAGTTTTTTTAAAAGTAGAAAAAATATGACTCCATAAAATTCTTCTTTTTAAAAGGAACTTACATATGACTTGAATTTAGGACTTCGTATTTGGGGGAAAAAAAAAAGGCAACACAATTCAGACAATCAGGAGAAACATCTAGTGTATCTAGTGTCCAGAAAAACATCACAATTTCCACAAAATATTGAAGGTGCACTCTTACTCCTAACCTGACAAATTAACAGGAAGACAACACTCAATTTGCTAACACATACAGACTACTGTCTACTATAGTATTAAAATAAAACACAGAAATCACAATTCTGTAAGGCTACAGCTGCCGGGAAAGAAAAACAATACATACTAAGGCATTTAATATCAAAATTCTCAAAAGCAGGTACGTGATTGCTTTGAAGGGCTATGACATGGCCCATCAAAAAAAAATTCAATATTGCAATTTCTAACAACATGCAAGTTGCACGAGAAATTCTTAAGAGATGAGCTTCACCAAGGGCACATTACGACTGGAGTTAATTGTACACACAAAGAACTTACTTTCTTCCTCGGAATGACATGGGGGCATCAGACACACGTACTGGACTGCCACTTACATAAGCCACTGGCCGCAGTGTAGCATCTCGAGTAGTTGCAAGGTTATCACTCAAAACAGCCCTGAAAATATTACAGTCAGTAACAATTATTCATATAACTAAGGTGCTTTTTATGGGTTGGTAGTTTTTCTTAAGCAAATGTTAAACTCAGCAAGTCCTGGTTTTTGTTTTTTTTTTCTCTTCGACGCAGTACATCTGTCTTTTCTATTCAAACAAAGAGATACTTCAGCATACATATTTCATTTAAAAAAAATTGAAGGTAATTCTTCACAGCACAAGTGTAAGAAGGGGTTAGCAAACAAATTAACTTAAGGTACTGTTAAATTTAAGACCTTAAAGAAGACTATGGTGACAAATACAACTGAAGATGTTTAAAACTAAAGCGTGGATTATTAACTCTAATCAATGCAATGGCATTTTATGCATTATGCACAATGGAAGAGAGCATTAAAACTTGCAAGTCATCAACAGAAATTACATAGCTCTATTTTACACGACACCTTCCTATATTTTAAAGTTGAATGCAGATTAATGCTAAAGCCAGTGAAAAACATGTTTCATAAACAGAAATATTTCTTTCAAAAGACAGTCTGAAGCCAATACCTATCAAAACTTTACTGTACTTACACTGCATTCTGCAAATTAAACTGAGTCTCAATAAGATGCTGCTGAGAGACAAGAGTGGGTAGCACATTCACAGGAATCTTACTGAAGAAATTACTCCGTTGTTGATGTTTTGGAGGGAAGGGTGGACAACCCAAGCTGGAGTGATTTGGGAACATGCTCCTTTCTACTTGAAGTGCACATGTATCTTTTTACCTACACTTAAAGGAGGGAAAAAAAAAAATAAATAAATTAGCCAACAAGAAATACTAGTTACCTTCTAAACACTTAGTTTAAAAATCCAAATAATCTAGGATATATATTCAGAGATTGCTGAAAAGAATTGTGATTGTAGGCTAGTTTTATTTCCTTTCTGGACATGACACTAAATAAAAATACTACATGCTGTTATGTTTTACAATTACTACGCACTTTATGTTTAAAGGTGAATTATTATTTGCTCCCCTCCATTTTAATTTTAGAAAAATTACATGACACAAAACATAGGAGTTTTCATCTCAAGGAAACGTAACATATTGCAGTGGTATATGTTTCTTGCTTCAAACATTCCACAATGAGAGTCACAATACATGGGAATAAACACTGGGCTACACCATAAGAACATGAATATGCTTATTTAAGAATATGCTTTAACTCTTAAATAAGAGTCCTGCAAAGATGTGTCACTGACAAGCAGTTGTACATGACTGATCTCAATACTCTGCATATGAATTAGAGCCATACAGGGATTCAAAGACAAGATAAGTTTTTTCACAAAACTTTTAACTGTAAATGTTAGAAGTCATAAGAACAACAGCAGTATTTCCCTGATTATTACATTAAAAACTTTTTATCAATCCAATGCTACAGCAATACAATTGGAAAAAGCACTGGCAGGTCCATGCCCCGGCATGGAAATCCTATCATCACACAGTAGTCTAAGTCTGGAATAAAATTATTACTTTTACAGTCTCTCGATTACCAAAATGAGTATATATACATATATATAAATATAAAAATTGTATTAGCAGTTACATTAATAGGCATTCTCATACACTGAAATAAAAAGTTATTTTATTATCAGTTATTATTTTGTTAACAGTTACTTTAAAGTCCTAACTTTATTGTAGTAAGGCCCCACCATTACCACAGCCCTGAAGTCTTCTTTCACCTACCAATATGGAGTGGTGCCAGATTTTAACCTCCTCAGATAGCTGTTCACTGTCACTGCAGACAGCATTACAATGGGACACTGGCAGATAAATACCAAGGTGTTTATTTGCTCAGGTTTTACCTCATTCCCAGACTACTAAAGACCTAGTACTACCTACATGGACACTACTGTACTAGCCCCAAAAAAACCTGTCGAGACTAATGCTGTCAGTTTTGGTTGGGTTTTATTGTTTGGTTTTCTTGGGTTTTGCTTTGTTTTGTTTTTTTTTTTTTTGTTTGGTTTGGTTGTTTTTTGTTTGTTTTTTTTTTTTTTTTTGCGGGGGAGGGTGGGAAGCTTGAGAAAGGGAAGCAGGGAAGTATTATGTATTAATGAAAGTTATTTGGGGGATGTTTACTTCCACTTCTACTGAAAAATAGAAACCGAACTGCATGACATTTCTACTAGAGAGACAATGTAACAAATATCAACACACCTCATTGACCTCTAGGCTGCCCTGGCACTCTCAGCATCACACACATAAGCGGCTTATGGAGGCTGTTAATCAGTAACACAACTGCGCACCAGAATTCAAGATTGAGTTACAAAAATAACACGTTCGTTTTAGTCTTTGGAGCTGCAAACATCAGACAGGAGGAGTTACTTTCCCAAACCGAAACCAAAACAGTGCAGTAACGCTGCGGTCCCACAGTAGCGTGGCGGCATTTACCACGCCCCTCGGCAGAGGTTACCTGGGCAGAACCTCCCAGGCGCCCCACAAAGTTCCATAAACTTTACAACTCAGGCACACCCGTCGCAGGGGCGGGGGGCGTTTCCAAATAAACGCAGACTCTTGAAGGAAGCACACAAGTGAACGCCGGTACACTTCCGTGCAGTCAAGCCCAAGCGTGCTCGCCGCTCCCACAGGGGCAGGAGCCCCGCCAGCCCCCCAGCCTTAGCGCCCGATGGCTCCGGTCTCCGCGGGAGTCGTCCGCAGCCACCCTCCAACCCTCGAGTTCCAGCCCCCGGCACCTCTCCCCACAACAACAGGGCACCCCCGCGCAGCACCGGAACGCTTACGTCGTGGTACGGCGAAGGTAAGCGACACCGAAAACAGCCTCCACAGCGGCGCCAGACGGAAGCGGGCGGAGGCAACTGCGACTGCGCGCAACCCTCTGACCCGGATATGCCGCCGCCGTCAGGAAGTGCCCTCTCCGCTCTGCTCCATGCCGCTCCACACCGCCGCTATCCGCGCTCGCCTCCCCCTGGCGGCACGGCGGAGCACCGGCAGCGCATGCAAATGCTGCTGGTGGCCGCGGCCTGCCGTTGTGCTGGGGCGCGGGGCTGTGAGGCGGGGCAGCAGCCGCCCCGGTCCTGCGCAGCTGTGCCAGGCTCGGGAGACACCGACTGGCTCTTGAGAGGGAGCGGCTTCTTCGTCGCGTCCCCGTGAGGGCGGAACTGAAAGCCCGGGCTCACGGCGTGTGTGTTCCCTGTCCCAGCTGTCATGGCTTGGAAATGGCTTGTCTGCGCAAGCTCTGGCGGCTTCACCGTGCTCAGGTTACAGTGCCCCGCTGACCACCCGCTCTGGCTACGGCCAACAGTGTGGGTGTTTTGCTTTGTAAGGTGCCTGTCCGCTTGTACTGAGCTGCTCTTCAGACGTGTGTCAGAAAGCTAATACTGAGTAAACCGTGTAAGTATGATAAAAGATAAAATTTGAATATTATAAAAGATAATTTGAATAGAAGAATGGCCGCCAGAGATTGTAGGTGTGCTGGGATAAACTCTCAGTTGTGAATGAGCTAAAATGCTTGCACCTGGACAGATCCAGAATTCAGAAGATACAAGCCAAATCAGGATTTAATTCCCCCCTCTGGAGAATGACAATTCCCATAAGTGAACTCTTGCTATTGAGCAGGTGCTGAAATAATGAGTCTGTGCACGTACTGACACACTGCTGAAGCTTCCCTCTTTGAGAGGGAGGGTGTAAACTGGGTCACGCTCACCTCAGATCTTGACTTGAGGGCTTGCTGAGTGCAGGCCAGGTCATCATGCTTAAGGCCCTGACCATCCATAGATAGACTTAATTGATCAGAAAGAGACAAAGCACAGGGGCCCAGGAAGAGCAGGGCTGCAGATGGACTGGTGAGGAAAGGTTTGGGTTGCAAAAAAAATCCTTCTCTCAGAACTTTCTCATCTTGGCCATGGCTTGGGATGCTTGTACAAGGGTCAGCCCATGGCTATGGTTAGCATTATATTCGAGAGATAAACCCTGGTGGCAGATACGGAGTGAAGCTGCAAAGGTAGTGCTGAAGGTATGTTTAGCTATAAACAAGTTTTTCTTAATAGTTCTTTATCTTGGCGTTTTTTATTGTTATTTTAGTTTTGTTGTTGTTGTTGGTTTGTTTTTTTTATTTGAGGTACCAGCACATAGCTTGGTTTAAGGGTAGCGTTTGAGCTCAGAAAGAGAAAGCCTAGGGGTCTAGGTGGAGTGGGACTATAGAGAAACTGTCAAAGGAAGGTTTGGGCTGCAGAAAATGGGTTCTGGGCAATTTTAGGATTAGAAGAGAGAGAGTTCCTAGGGAACTGTCTGTGAAGGGGCTGCCTCGGGTCAGTTTGGTCTGCATAAGAATTACCCTGGAAAACTTCAGTGAGGACCTTGTTTGGGTTTACTTGGAGTTACAGTCCCCAGTTAACTTGGGGTTACAGCACATTTAAGGTGAGGAAAGGATGGTTGCTAGGGGTCTAACTGATTGGGGCTGTTGAGGGAAAGTCTGGGCTGCAGAAGAAGATCGCTGGGGATTTTTTGATCTGTGGCATATTTGGGGCTGTCTGGTGTAAAAGCTCCATGGACTTCTAGCATTAAGGTTCAAAGAGACAAAGCCTAGGGATCTAGGTGAAAAGGGACTGCAGACAGGCTGCCAATCCTGTTATTTCCTGAGACATTTTTCATCTGTGCTACAGTTGGAGTTCTCTGCGCTTAAGGGCTACATGGCCACTTCAGGGGTTAGTGGTAGAAGAGACGAAGCTGAATGGTCCTGTTGTAGTCAGACTGCAGAAAGGCTACCAAAGGCAAGTTTGTGCATAACAAAGAATTCTCCCAAGAACTTTTCCATCTTGGCTGTGATCTGTGGTCAGTGCACAGCTATGATTAGCGCTAGGGTAACGGATATGATTTACAAATGTTTAAAAGTCCACTGTGAGTTGCTTGTGGGGTATTGATAGCGAATTTAAATGAGAAGTACTGGGATGAAGGAAGAGTTCTTCCCTGTGAAGAAATTCAATCCCAAGAGAGTTTGCGTAGAGGATGAATAGGTCTTTAGTTTCATGAGAATCCTACCAGTGCCCAGTTATGGACTTCAGTTTTCATCTGGAACTCAGCTGAGTTTCTGCTCAAGGCAGAAATTTGTGTCTTACCTGTTAAAAGCCAGTGATGCAACTCCTGGTAGCTGGAGTTCTCAGTTTGGCCCATTCACATGGTGTTCTCCATACCATTTGTCACTTTTCTTGCCATAATCTACCCATTAACCAATAATATGTAATTCTTCGAGGTTTCTCACATTTACCATGGGTCTACAATAAATGCAACCTAATACAGTTGATACACCTGGTAGCAGGCAGTGTTTATAGCAGTGTATTAAGCATCAATATTTTTTATACAATGAAAAAAAAAAATTAGCAATGTGTTTACCTGATTAAAGTAACTTGTGTTGCTGTGTTTTAACTTGTATCCTTTTCCTCCATTCCTTGGCACAAGGCACCCTGATATTTTGTTTCTGCTTTAACCTACAGCTAAATTTAATTGTGGGGTTTTTTGGGAGACTGTTCACTCTTAAGGACTTATTCTCCATGTTTTACCTGCAACCACTTGTCAAAATAGCTGCGTATTTCAGCAAGGCACCTGAAATAACCTGACACATTACAAATCCATGACAGCCTTCTGAGACAAATCTCTGTGCTTTGATGTGCTGAGAGCTGTTCTGTTTTGGTTGGGTTTTGGTTTTTTTTTTCCAGTATGTGCCTTCTTACTTCCTGACCCTGACTGTGATCTTGCAAAGTTAACAGGTTAGATTC